CTACGCCCAAATGCTCCTGACACAACGCAGCCCAACGCCGAGCGCCACTGTGGCCTTGTCCAATCTCTGATCCTGGAAAAAAGGAAATTTCATTTGAAAGGGTGTTTGAAGGCCATGGGGTGTTCAATGCCGCTGGCCTTGGTGGACCCAGTCCAAACCACTGGTCCTGGTGCCTTGCTTTGGAAACATGCTGGGCAACATTGCCCTCTCCGCACATAAACTTGACGCTGGAGGCTACCAAGCAAAATATATTGTACGTCGCGCCCTTTTAAATAATCAATTCTTTGTATGATACAAAGAATTGTAATATAAATACGATGTACTTAACGCTCTTGTTCTTTTCCGGTTGTTCCCATATTTTTATTTTTTTCGTAAAACGGATGATTCGCTGGGCCTGCGCAGCCCGTGCGAACGTCAAGTAGCTTTGTGTTTGGTTGTCTTCGGCGAACTTCGGCGACTTCGGACCATGGCGCTGCGTGCAGTGGAACACTTGTCTGAGCAGCGGCCTTAATCCGCCGCAATGTTTTCAATTGAGGTTTCAAGGGGCAGTGACATTCCTTTTAGGTCGGAGATCGATGAAGCACCCGCGAAGAAAGGTCAGAAAACTGTCCGAAAGAAGGTGCTTTTGATTTCTCGTTTTGTCGATTTGCCTCTAGAGCTTTTGTGTCATCACGCGCTATCCCCTGGTCAGTGTCTGTGTGCATGTTGGCAGGTTGCTGGCAAGAAGACCAGCAATGTTGATGGCCAGTACTCGGGGCAGTTGACTTTGTCGAAGCTGAAGACGAAGACCCTTCCCAAGTTTGCTTCTTGCACTGATAGGAAGACGATAAAGGTTTTGAAGCAAGACTTGAAGAAGTGCAAGCCTTTGAGTTTGGAAGTGGCCAGGGCCTTGTTTTGATCGGTGTTCATGGTTTTTTGCAAGGCGTCTTTGCAAATCAGGTCACTGGGCCTCAGGCCAAAGGTAAGCAGAAGGCAAATGGAGCAGTCTTGTTCAGCGGCAAAAAGGTTTTCCGATCTTGGTCCACCATCCGTCCAAGCCTCATGGTTTCTTGTTGGTTGAGATGTGTTTGCCCTTAGGCTGCAGTTGTTTGAATGGTTGTGGGTGTGGACATGCTTGTGTGATGAGGTTAAGGTTGCGGTTGAGATTGAGGTTCAAGTTGGGTTGAGGTTCAGGTTGTGAAATTGAGGTTGACGAAGTGCAGGTTTCTGATACTTACTACCGTTACTGCTGAGGCTGTTTTAGTGGCACCACTACGGCCAACGGCAACCCTTCTGAGCGCGGAATCAGTGCCGGGCATCACAGTGTTTTTGGGGACTTCGATAGAGTCACATTCAACTATGAATCTGGCTTCTGAGGACCTTGGCAACCAGATCCTGCACTCGCGTTTGTACCAGAAGGAAATGAAGGACTTGCGCTTGACTCCTGGGAAGTATCTCACAGCCGAGACTGCAGAGTGGTTTTCAGGACCGATGGAGTGATATTGGCTGCAAAATTCTGCACCAGTTTTTTCCCAGAAATTATTGTTACGTGGTTTCGTTGTTTTCTTTTTGCAGGACTTCCCAGGAATTGGACGAAGCCAGTTGGAGATTGCGTTGACAAAGACATTTTCCAGCAGATGTTTCCCCATGCGTTGACCGGGGAGGCCAGGCCTAGATCGGAACAATTTGGTTTCCCCATCTGTTCGTGCCATGCAGGATGGCAAGGCGCCCGTTGTGAGTCTCTTCACTGGAGTTGGAGGTCTTGAGCTGGCTTTCTCAAAGTGTTCAGCTCAGTTCTTTGGTTTCTGCGTGGAATTCTCCTGGTCATTGTGTTGAAGTGTGTTGAGTTTCACTTCATATGTCACTACCGAGCTCTGATGTTTGTCTCTGGCAGTGCCAGCTTTTTGTGCTTCAAACAGGAACGGCTCCAAATGTTGATTTTACCAACATGGGTGCACACTATGGTGTCTATTTTTTGTTGTGCTCAGCTCATTCATAGTGAGATGCATTCGGAATTCATTTAGCAGTTGCGTTGGCTGGGGTATGGCGAATTCCGATGGCAGCTTTGCTGTGGTACGATGCGTGGGTGTCAATCAAATAAGGCCAGTTATCGTTTATGATGTTGGTGCCGGGTTCACTTTCAGTATTGATTGCTTTCTGTCCTGCTGCGTGTGCCGCAGGGTACCGAAGGGAACACCAATCATCACAATGTGGCGCGGTGAGCAGTTTGTCCCTCAGCGAGATTGTTTTGTTTCAATCAAAATTCAACAGAATTGTTGACTGACACTGTCAGGTGGTCATGGAGTTGGGAATCTAAATGCTGGACAGTCCATGGAAGCAAAGTCGGCACAGATGCGACCCTGACTGTTCCACAAGCCCCGCTTCAGCCAGTCTAGAGCTCAAGCCATGCGCAGCCATCGGTATAGCATCCTTCATCTCTGCCCACTTTTCTTGGTTGATTTCATTAGGCTACAACCGCGAACCAGCCAGCCGAGAAGAAACCACGCCTACAAGACTTAGACTTGCTACAAGACTTGCAGAACTAGAATCTGTGAAAACAATGAGCTTTGAGCGTTGCAGTTGGTGTGGATGTTGCAAGAGTCATTTGGAGGTTTCAATTTCAAAGCGCATTTAACTTCGAGTTCGCCTCAGATCTAAAAATTATGAGACATCAGCCACTTGAAGCTCAGGTGGATGTACCCTGTGGCAATGGCGCTTCCCTCAGCAGGATTTTTCCAAGCCAAGTCAAAACTTGGGTGATGTAGGTCTAGTTTCAGAATGTGTCAGATGTGCCAATCTTTTATTTTTAGGTGGAGCGGGACAGTTTCTGCTCGCAGATTCTTGCTCTTCGCATTCGTGACGGGTTGCTTCACAGAAGCATTCTTGGGGATGATGTCACAACTTTCAAAGCTTCGCAAGTCCATGCATCTGGCTGTGGCGGTGGCTTCCCATGCCAGGCTGGACAGCTTCATTTCTTACTTCATTGTATTTTGCAGCATCTTATTGTTTTTCGACAGAGGGATTCCTTTCTCATTCGCTTCGCTTCGCAGGGCATATCCCAGGCCGGGTCACAGTTGGGCATGGCAGATCGCCGCAGCTGCCTCTTGAAGCATTGCTTTAGAATCTTCGATACCTTGACCGATCCGCAGCTCAGTTGCATGTTCGAAGTTGGAACAACCAGGTGGCACCTTTCCTGTCGTTTGGAAGGATGATACCGCGTTTGTTTTGGGCAGAATGTTCCGCGAGAAGCGTTTCAATTTTGAGGCAGTTCATCTTCCTGGAGAACGTCTACGCAATACTCCACAAAAAGACCGAGATGAGGACGATTATGAACTACATCGTGAAGGACTGGGGTTGACAACTCAGCAGGGTTTTTTTCACTCTTTCACCTCGCAGGCGTGCAATGAGAGGGGACTGGTGCTCCACTGGGCCACAACGGACTTGTCCAATTGCGGTCTTGCTGCAAGGAGCCCAGTTCACAAGTTGGAAATGATTGCAGCGTCCTTTTTGTTAGCGTAAGGGTTGATATCATCATATCAATCATTGACTTGCATCGTATGATGTCAGCTTTGTAGTCGTGAGATATTTGTTGGATATACATTTTTCTTCAAAGCGGGTTATTTAGTTATATATGGAACAAAGCTTTTGCGCACACCAAGTGCCTTCATGTTTTTGCCACCCCCAAGTCTTTTCGGAATTGGGGTAGTAAGCCGAAAACCTTTGGGCGCCCAGATATGTCAGTTACTGTACCTTGTTTTCGCATGATTTGCACCCGTGGCAGTGTGTAAGGCTCGACGTGCAAGGGTCTTTTTCCTGGCCCACCGGCTAGATTGTGACCTTTGGCAGGACCGTTGGTACTTTTGTCAAGTGACGTTTCTTGGAAGTACACGGTGTGTCAGCTTGTCCCAGGATGTGAAGCTGCGGCCACTGAGCTCCTTCTTGCAGCCTGTGTGGAATGAGCTCAATGCGTTGCCTATGCGTTTGTGGTTAGGACACAGCTCCACGGAGGATAGCCACTACCGTGCGCGTCTCAAGTGCATGGGGAACATTGTTGTTCCCCAGTGTGGGTCCTTGGCCATGGAGGTGTTGCAAAGAATGCGGTCTCAGGCGCTTGGATCCCAATGATGTTTGCACGGGCATTTTTTGGGTGGCAGCTGTGTCGGAACAAAATGTGTTGGCAATCATCGTGTGACTTCGGAGTCACGCCAGTTCTGACGCAGGTGCAGTTCGATCTTAGGCCTTAAAGATATGATAGTAATTAGAGTTGCAATCTGCGGACTCAATTCGGCGGAGCCTGCACGAATGTGTGATTGGACACAAGGTGTGGGTTTGGGAAAAAACTCATGGGAGGCCTTGGGAGGCCTTGCTGAGCAGAGTGATTGAGTGATTTGACGTGAATGAATGGTGCTTCTTCCAAACATTCACCGACTTAACTGCCTCAAGCCTTTTTGAACTCACTGTGATGAGCAGATCCTTTTCTCAAGGATACAGGAAGCACAGTTCTACATTTATTGGGAATAGCCCTTCGCACTGGGATGTCGCAGTCACAGTGTGAGCATGTGACCTGCCCTAAGAGCTCCAAGACTTTGCCCACTAGTCAGACCAATCAAGGTGGAGGTCAGACAGGCCTGCCCTCACGTTGTTGTGCTTTCATGTGAATGTCACTTCAATTCATGATGTTCATTTTGACGTTCCAGACAAGCTTATACTTTGTTTCGTTTTTTGTCCACTTTTGATTTCCGCTTCAGTTGATGTTCTGGTTTCAACTTCCTGTTCGCAACTGACCCGCAGGAACCGACACTGCCTTCGACAAGTTCCATGTCTTCCCTGGTAAGACACTTCAGGACATCGTTTTCTCACATTCCATGCGTAGTTGAAGTCATTGGCAGAGATCTCGAAGTCACTGCCTGGGATTCACAATTTACGATCATGTAGCTGTTGGACTCTCTTCTTGCCTCAGCTTGTTTTATTCAGAGTTTGGGGTAGGTGCGCTTCGCGTTTGCATCCTTCTAGCAGTCACCATGCCGGGGCAAGATCGGAAACTGAAGCAGTTGGTTGAAGCCGCAGTGAGGGTGATGACCTTCCTAGTCGGCCAGCACTATGCCACCCCCACCCCGAGCCCAGACGCTGTGACAGGGTACATCACTTCGTTCATGTCCTGGCTGGCTTCCTGGTCAGCTTTTCTGAACTCCCTTCCCCCTCAGCAGATCGAGAAGTTCAAGTATCTTTCCCGTTTTGTGGCCGATATGCAGTACACATTGAGCACCCACATTGGCCGACACTGCTTGGGCCAACGGGTCGATGACATCAAAACGAACCCTTGCCCAACAACTTGGCGGTTGTTTGATACTTTCATGGAAAGTTTGACGGCCGAGTTGGAAGACATCGTTGGGCCACTTCGAGCTTGGGTTGCAGATCAGCCTGTGGATACTGGCTTGCTTTGTGACCAAATCTTGCATGCCATTCTTCTTTTTGGTACACGATGCGAGATGTTTCTTGCTGACCGCCTGACTCGGCAGCTGAATATCTTTGTGCGCAAATTCACCAATGATGTCTACGATCATCAAACGTTGAATGCTGTCGCACAGATCCCCACACGAGGGGCAATCACAGCAGTAGATTAATGACATTTCGCACAGGGAGAAATGACCAAGTTTCGCACAGGGATAATTTTTGGACTGAGTAGGTTTTGATGACAACATATCACCGTGAGACAAAGTCAGCTTTATGTGCCTCAGGCATTTGTGCCACTGATAGGAGATTTTGGAGATGCATAAACTTGAAGGAGAAAACGGTGATCATCAAGTTTAACGAAGCGGTGGAAGGCCATTGCATCCATCGCATTTCTCTTAGGTAGTGTATCCTGAAGACGTTGTGTAGTCTAGCAAATTGTCTAGCTTGCAAAACTGCCAGGTTCATTGAACTTGGCTTGTGTGCGTGCTCCGCGCTGTTGCTTCCTGACATGTGACGCGACAAAGCCCAGCAGACTTGTGATTCTCAGCTGAGCAAGGTGGTAGGTTCTATCAAGTCAAGGCAAGGAGTGATTCTATCATTTCAATGTTAAGTTTATAGGTTGGGTTTTGAACTGACAAGACCTGTGCGCTCCGGCTGCTCGACCTGAGGATTATGACGCGGAATTCGGCCATGTTTCCTGACTCTTGCCAGGAGACCACCTTTGCAGGGACTCATGGATCTGTTGTGTTCGCAGCCAAGCCGTTTCAGACCTCGGCCAAGGTCCTTTGTTTGATCCCAAGTCTTGACCTTGGTGTGGGTGATAACCCCCAGCCTTCAGCGCCGGGAACATTGGAGACGAACATGCCAGTCATTTTCCTTCCCATTGCGCAGTATGCATCGTTCATCAACGGCCTGAAGAAGTTTGATGAGTTAGGCGCCTCGACTTTGTTGCTGTAGGACACTTTGTAGTTGTCATGGCACACTCTTTGGTTTTCTCACTTCGCAAACGTTCTTTTCATTCCGTTAGTTTGTCATCAGTTTGATTGGCTGCCCTTCAGATTTGGACGCTGTGGCTCCGATGGGCGATCAGGAAGCGCGTGATGTCATGAGGATGCACCTTCAGTGAGAGAACCCGCAGGCTGTGAATGTGAATTTTAGGACTGGCCACCTCACATAAGCCTCAAATTTTGATTTAATGTTTCCGATCTTTGGAGGGTCCACCGTGCAACAAAGATTCGCTGCTGGGTGGGTTTGCGGTTTGTGTTGCTTCAAGCGCTTTAGTTTCTAAATTTTCTGTGGTTCGTTGGTGAATTCAGTGGTGCTCTTCGGATTGTTTTGTCCACTACTCGACGTTTGTGCTGCTTCAGTGTGTAGTTTCGGAGGCCGTTGCGAGCCACCTTGTCCACTGTGCTCGTGAGTTTCAGCTTTGCTCGAGTTTTGTCCTTTTGATATCTTTTGATTGAACCAGTTCGTTCATGTCGAATATTTTACGGATTGATGCAGAGCATTTAGCCTTCAATACGCCTTGAAGACTCTGGATGAAACTTGAAACACGTTGATACTTTGCTTCACCATGCCATCACTGATCAGGGCTAAAACTACATGTTGTTTTCGCGCTTAGCCATGCTTCAGCCTCGGGCATGGCAATGAGGGTTGCTTTGATCTCATCATTGCTGCTGCTCCGGTGTTCGGCAATGATTTTTGCCGCTGTTGACTGCCTCAGTGATGATGAGCCTCCTGCCGCCTCGTCTCAGCAAGCTACATTCACGGAGCGGAAGCGCCGCCGTTTGACGAAAGAGCCAGTTGTCAAGGGAGACAAGGGTGACTTAGTTGATTCTTTGCGATCCAGGCTAGATGCTGAGTGCCCCTGCAGACAGAAGACATGCTTTCGTCAGTTCTTGCAGCCCGACTATTTTCCAACGCTTGTTGACTACCTACGGGAGTGGCATAGTTTGGGCAAGCTCGATCAAGACAGTATTGATCCTTGACTTGGCTATGTTTAACAGGTTCTTGGTTGATGATCCTGTGATCGGTTGTATTGAAACTTGTTTCACTTGTTTTGGACAACCAAATACAGCCAAGATCAGCCAAGTCAATGTTCATGTTTGATCAATAACGTTTGGCCTCGCAGGCATTCCAACGAATGAAGGAGTTGGTCATTCGTTCTGGAGAAGACCACTTCACTGCTTGGGCGCTCTTGGATTTGAACACCTGTTTGAAGGCGTGGATTAGCATTCATTCACTGGGCATCCATGCGAACATTAGTGACGATTTACTTTGAAAGGTGTTTCTGACTTCTGAATATTATTTTACCTTTAGGTGGGGAGCACTTTGCTGATTCTTCGCATGCTTGGAGCCCGGGCTCAGGTACCAAAAGGTTTCAGAAATTGTGGGGAGCTGCCCGTGATTTGCTACCTTCCCCCCCTGCCGACTTGCGATACTTGAAACGACCTCGCGGTAGAGTAGGGGCTGAACATGCTGCTTCGGTTCGCACCGACATCGTCAGCTTTTTGAATGAGATCTACAGCTCGGTTGCTGAAACCCTTCCAGACTTCCGGGACGAACTGGGGGCAAGTGCTGGCACTGTTCAGATCAATGTTGAAGATCCTTACGCAAAGGCGCTTCACGATGAGTCAGTGGACCCTGATTTGTTACCGAAACCGAAAACAAAACCCAGAAAGAGAAAGGGGCAGGTAGAAATCAATTTGGAAAGGACTTCCAAAACGATGGAAGAACGGTGGCTACCCCCGGGGTCTATGAAAGAATATCACGAACAATATCGTTTGCGGACTGGATTGGAAAAGCCTGGCTCATTTGCAACCTTCTGGAGAGTTTCTGGATTTGACTAGCCGGTATTTTTTCAAGTGGATTTATTATTCTACCCTTTGGTTAATTCAGGGCGAAGCTAGTGTCGGAGACCAAACTTGCCATTGAGGTCTGGTTGGCCGAGTTTAGCTTCTTGCAGATACGTGCCAGCTCACAACACGCTGAGTGCAGTCAATGCATTCGGCACCGACATATGATCAGGCATTTGAGCCATCATCTCCGGGCCCGGACTCAGCAGCAAACATACTATTGGGAGCATCTTAGAGCTCAATACGCCGACCGGCTTGTGTACTATGATTTGAGATCCAAGTCGCGAAGTCATGATGGTCGCAACATATGTGTGATTCAGGATGGCCTTGATCAGAGTAAGGTGGCCATACCTCGATCTTCCTGGCAGAAAGGAAAGGAATATGCATCGCTCAACAGACCAAAACTCCATGTTAGCCTGACATTAGTTCATGGCTTTTTCCTGCTATGGACCATCAGCAACCCAGACACTCAGAAGAACAGCGACGCTTCTGTAGAAACGCTGTGCCACGCTTTGCATCTATTGCAAAGCAAACATGGTGTGGTGCTATCACAGACTCATCTCAACATACAGGCTGACAACACGGTGCGTGAGATCAAAAACAACCACTGCCTGCGCTGGGCAGCGGCACAGGTGAGCTCAGGCAACCTGCTTGGAATTTCCTTTCGATTTTTGAGGACTGGTCATTCACATGAAGATGTGGACCAGTGCTTTGGAAGATTGGCAAAGCATATATCCAAGCTTCAGAAAGCAGAAACGCCTGACGATTTTTTGGCCTCGATCCAAACCTTTGCGAGCAATATGTACCGTCCGCACGAGCCAGGAAGGTACGTGGTGTGCATGAATGAGACGAGGGATTGGAAGCTTGTATAAAATTGTTTTCCAGATTGTCAAAACTTTATTGCAGTCGGATGACGCACACCTCCCCAAATTTATTGAAAACTATCTGCGGTGGATCCCAAGACACATATCTAGAATATTGTGCACGTTAAGGGTGAAGTGTCAGTTGGATTCTAGACTTGATGTTGGGTTTCTTTGACCTCGAACCTTCTGAGTTTGATCCTTCAGGAAGGGCTTTCACAGTGGTGCAGTGCCCGTCTCACTGTGCGGGATAGGCGGTCCAGGCGCACCTCACGAGTTTACATTGGAGCGGAGAAATAGTGAGAACTTAGTCGGTGAAAGCATTGGGAACCTGCACTGGGGATATGATGAGCGCCCTGATGATGTCATTCTCAGGACTGCGTAGTTCTTTTTTTGTGTGGATTGTCGGCAAAAACCTGTTGAATTTGATGTCAAGCAGTTTAGAAAATTTGGACTTCAACTTTCCAGACAGGACGCGGAGATGGATGGCGAGCCCCGAGTTTTCATCATGCCTGTTGTATTTTCCACGAGCCCTGGCCCTTGAAAGAGTTCCCCTCGGCTGCCCTCAAGGACTTGGGTTCGCAAGCTTTGTGTTTTCAAGCCTACTATGTTCAACAGTCATGAACCAACATGTGTAGCAGCAGCAGCAGCAGTTTTCATTCAGTGGCTGGCCCCTGGCAGTACTTGCGCCAAAGAGGGATTTGCGAGCAGACTTCAAGAACAACATAAGAAAGTTTCTTCCTCTGTTGCGACAGCCTTTGTACGGGTTGCAGCGTGCAGCCGATTGGTTGGAAGCTTTGATTGATGGAACCCTGCCGCAGAAGCCCTTGCTTGACGTGTCCGCGTGTTTTGACGACGTTTAGCTATCATGTTTTACGGTTTGTCTTTCACGCCTGTAGCCGCAACTTTCTGTTTTGGTTTGTGTGCAGTTTAAGTTACTTAATGTTGCTAGCATTAGGTTGCTTTGAATGGCAAGGTCCCCACGTTGGTTTCCAGATGTTGGCAGGTGTGTGATCCGCAGTGGTCCTCGAGGAGTTCATCGGAGACCGGGAGATTTGTCGGCGGACCCCTTTGTCATCCAAGAGAACCTAGTTCGGCTACATGTTTGTCAATTGAGTTCAATGGATATTTCTGAATTTTGATTTGTTACTTTCATGGGGTCATGTTCCCAGGAGATCATGTACGGCTGTTCATGCTTCTGTCAGCTTACTACTCGAAGGTCAGGTGTCAATCATGTGAACCCTGAGGCTGAAATCCGCAGGAGCTCAAGAATGTCGATTGTATGTCCAAAGGTCTCGGGCATCGATTGCTGTGCAAGCTGCTGCTGCTGCGTGGAGGCTTGGGGTACCATGGACTGAAGCTATTAAAGTTTCAGAGGATGCAGTCGCAGCAGCAGGATTGAGCGGGGCCCCTGCCATTAGAAGGGCAGGACGAGGCAAAGGTAAAGGCAAAGGTAAAGGCAAAGGTAAAGGCAAAGGCAAAGCCTAGCCACTTTCCAGAAGTGATGTCACGTCTCAGGGTCGGTGGAAAAGGCTGCGATTAGCTTGTCATTGTTGCGCGCATTTCGTGTCTTGATGTGCGCAATCGACAAGCTGGTCAGATTACATGTTGACAGTTCATACACTTACTATGAACATGTTAGAGACTGCAAAGGTTAGTAGGCATTATACACCTTGGACCTGGCTATTTGCGGAGGCAGGGTCACATACATAGTTTCGGAGTTTAGCGAGGTTGAGCCCTGATGTGCACGGCGCTTTGGGTGCGGCAGTGGAATGTGTTATGATTTTCCGAAACTTTGAAAACCCTAAACCCTAAACGTTACGGGTTTTGGGTGCGGCAATGGAATTTAAGGGGATTGGTGTCCAACTTTAAACTTAACTCAAAAGCGTAAACCCTAAACCCTAAACGTTCCGGTTTTTGGGTGCGGCAATGCAATTTAAGGGGATTGGTCACTTGGGTTTTTTGAAATCAGTTCCAAACAATATGGCTTTGAAGCAGGGTCACAAGTGACCAATCCCACCTGGGATTGGTCACTACTGGTTGTTGGTGGTCGAAGCTTGCCATTGATCATAATAGGTTGGAATAGCATTATCAATGAAATAAGCCATTGGAAGTGACCAATCCCACCTAGGATTGGTCACTTTGAAGGTCTTCCCCCAGACCTAGGTATAGTGTCGGATCTTTGTTGGTCCAAGTTGAGACCTTTGTTGCCGGATGAGTGACTGATTGAAATGGTTTTGATTTCAACAGAAGTGACGGATTTGACATGACCCGGAGTGACGGATTTGACATGACCCGGAGTGACGGATTTCCATGATTGGTTTGTGACGGATTTCCAGGGATGGTTAGTGTCGGATTCTACCTAGGATTGGTCACTACCGGTTCCTGATTAGCAGGTGTCGGTTTTGTGACCATTATAGTTTGTTATCTGAAGGTATGATTTTGAGATGATTAGTGACGGATTTCTAGACTGGCTGGGTGACGGATTCCAAGGGCGGAGTAGTGACGGATCTGGGCAAAGCTTTAGTGACGGATCCCAGCAATAATAATTAGTTCATCCACTGGTGGCAATGATGCTTTTGGAACTCAACTGCTATTATGCCTATTAGGTTCAGAGATGTTCCTGCACTCTGGATTGTGGCTTTTTGTTCTGAGAGATTATTAGGCTTGTTTATGATTTTGAGGGGCCGATGACGTTCTTTTAAATGGATTGGATGTGTCGATGAAGTTTTCGGATGAACTGACTTTTCTTGGTTGAGCCAATTCTCGATTGCTCAGCTTCGATGTTCTTTTGGATTCCCCGGGTCATCGGTTGATGAGTTTGGCCGTTTTATTGCGGGCTCAAACTGTTTCCTTGGTTTTCTGCGGCTTTCCAGAACGACGGGTCAGTTGCACATTGCCTTTTAACATGCCGCCTGCTAAGCGCAAGTCCACTGGTGATGCGCGGACGTCAAAGGACAAGTTGCAGAAGGGAGCAACGGCTGAGCAGATCGAGGAGCAGCCGCATGTTTCCAAACTTGTGGCTTGGTCCCTTGGTGCAAGATTCTTTCCCCATAGGTGACAAAAGATCCACGCAGCCTGGAAGGTTACCCAAACAAAATGCAGTGGTCACTCTTGGTTGAGGAGTGTTTGTGGTAACTACTAACTAAGGCTTAGGTTGTACGGCGTATTAATATTATTAATATTCAGAAGTCATTGGTGACAGGATGTACAAATCAATGCATGAATGTCTAGGGTTTGAGAAGGATCTCCGTTCATGATGCAGACCAGCTAATTTTAAATCACCCCTGAACTTGACTTTTTTGTATGATGCGTCGTTTCAGTCTGTTTGTTTTGCCTGGAGCCTTTGTGATGATGATGCTGTACAACACAATTTGAGAGTTGATTTTATACTTTGATCCTATACTTACGTACTTACGGCTTTCCTAGCGGAATGATGTGACGACAGACTTGATTCGATGGTAATTTTCCACTTGGCTTGGCATCAGCCCCCCCATCAACACCTATTTTGAGGCAGCGTTTCTTGCCTCATGGCAAGGGGCCTGATGCCAGGCCAAGTGGAAAACTATCAGGACTTGATGTGAAATTAGTTTATGAGTTGATGTATGAGAAACTTTTGAACAGATTTACCAGTTGACGTGCAAGAGGTCTGTGACTTGATAGGGATTGCTCCAGCTTCCATCGGATCCCGAGGCTGAACGAAACCGTTTTTCCTGCTGGAGGGCCGGACAAGTACTTGTCGGCCAAGTATGATACGCAGGCCGTTGATGTGCAGAGATGAGTTGTGTCCCATCCTTGAACTTCTTTAAATTCTACTTCCTCCTGAGTGGTGCACAGGTGAAGAAACTTGATTTCGCTGAGTGGATTGACAAGTTTGCGGTGGCAGATCTGAGGCCCTGCTAGAAACTGAATCGTGTTTCATTGTTCACTTGGAAAGGTGCATCGCTTGCAGACTTGCAGATTGTAGTTCACTTTGAAGGGTTCATCGTTTGCAGGCACACTTATGCAGGAGGCGCTGCGGAAGGTGCCCAGCTTTGCCGCCCTTGGCAGCTAGCTTGGCGAGCAGACTTCGGGTGCTCAGGGTTCTTGGAACCTGAGCAAGCTTCCAAAATAATGGAACTGATGCTGACAGAGGGGTTCCGTGCCCTTAAATTATTGTTTGTTGACAGTGTTGTTGTGAGTAACGGCATGCAGTGTGAACTGTGTTGCAAATAATAGAGAGCTTGTCGTCATTGTGCTGCTCTTTGGAGATTCAAGGTTCTTGACCAACCCGGACTTGCCTGGAACCGAGAAGATTTCGGCTACGAAAGTACCGAAGGAGTTCCTGGATGCGCCGTACTCTGATCTTCCATCTACAATTGGAGGTCAGACAAACATTGGTTTGCTTTGTTCCTTAGTCTCAGTGTGCCCAAGTGAAGCAGTCAAGACTCAAGACTAGACTAGTTTTGAAATCCATTTCTTGTGCGCGCAGGTGGAGCCTTGTTGCCACCGTTTAGTGTGGGATACTGCAAGGGGTGGAAACGTTCTGTGATGGCTTTGATCACACTTCATGGAATACGTGAATTGCAGTATGACGATGCCATCAAGCACGGAATCAAGGTTACTGGTGAATTTTGAGTGGGTTGTGTAGTTGAGATATTTTCTTTATGGATCTATGAAACACGAACTCCTGTTGCATTTTAGGAGCCAAGTTGTTTGCGCCATACGTTCATTGTATTCATTGACCTGAGTCCATTCTGCAGTTCTGCTTCGCTTCAGCTTACCATCCAGGCTTCGTTCGCCACTGTTTACACCACCTTCAGCCAGTTTAGAGATGTACGCAGCCAGGTGTATGCAAACCGAGGCAGGTCTCTTGACAGATTGTAACTGTTATGTTTTTCGTATTTATTTCAATTATGTAATGTAACCATTGGATTAACTTCAGATGACTCATGCCATGCCCAGTTTTTCTGATCAATCTTATTGAAGATCTTCCACCATGTCTCCGTTCACCTGCCAGGTGCTGGTTTGGCCAGCACTCAAACACGAGTGCGACCGAATGCCTTCCACTTTCGCAGACAGGTCATGATCCTCCAAAGAGCCGGGGGTGGTTCTGCTGAACGGCAGTTCACCGACATTTGACACGAAGCAGTTGCAAGCTTTCAAGTTTTTATGTTGTGTGCTTCAATCGAAGAGCTGGCCTTTTCAAAGAGTTGCTTTGTTTTTTCATATTGTGCAACTGTTGCAAGAATTTGCTTTAGGAGTGGAAGCAATCAACAAACATTGCCAGGGCATTCAGCATTGGAAAGGCTGAGAGTGAGGCAGTGAGTGCCTTGATGACCCAGATCAAGCCGGAACTTGTCGATCGTCTCTCGGATGCTGTCCGTGCCAGAGGCATGGTCAAGCTTCTACACCACGAGGTGCTGTCGAAGGGCATATTCTCAAAAAACTTCACATCCGGCTTGGGGCCAGCTGAGAGCTGGAAGGACCAATTGCGCAACCGTGAAGACGGCATACTGGTTCTTCGTTTCAAAGTAGAAATTTTTGCACAGGTTCATTGTTGCACATTTGGGTGTAGTCATCATGGAAGATCACACAGTAATTTCTAGTTTCCTGCTGCTGCGACCTGAGGCAGGCCTGGTAGTCACCAGGTTGATTGGTGATTTCGACAGAACTGCCCCGGGTCTCCGGAAGGCTTTGAACTTCAAAGATGCATTAGCTTTGCATCAAGCTGCTGGATTGTTTCAGCATTTTCTCCGAATCCTTGAGCAGACCGCGCCTTCAGCTCTCTTTGCTGAATCCCGTGACAGTTTGGAAGCGCAGTTTTTGCAAGGCTTTCTTGACCCAGACCTTTGCCATTGCTTGACTGTGCAAGTTCCCCCAGGTGATATCAAATCCATCAGTGCTTTCAGGCCAGGCCATGCGATGATTCTTCACGGTGTTTTTAGCTGTTCTTTCGGTTTTCTTTATGAACGTAGTTGTAGAGTATGTTTTTCGGATTGTTTGTGATGTTTTGCAGTTTCTCCAAGCTTTAATGTGGAACCAAATGGGTTTTAAGTGTATCGCTTCTGCATGGCACTTTCCCAATGTCAGACATTTTACCGTGAAACTCTACCCTTACTAGTCAACGCCGTGATTAATATGAACGCTCAGAACAGCCATCGCGTAAAGTATACCCGATTTCATGTATGATTATGATATATATACTTCGTCATGACTCCTGACATCTCAGAGTTTCGCTGCCGTTAGCAGCACACTGGTCCGGTGCAGAAGTTACATTCTTGCAACATCCGAGGCACTGTTTGTTTGTTCTGTGTTGATTTTTAGTTGTCGCTCTTTCCAGGTACTTGTTGGTTCAGTTCATTTCCTGCGGTCACTTGATGCAGTGTTGCGGTCATGCTGTGGTCAATTGTCGCGGTCACTCAGTTTCTTGCTGCCGTGGTCGTGTGCACCTTTGTTGCGTTCACATGGGATCATTTTCTTGTTGGGGTCACTTTTTGTGGTCGCTTGTTGCGGCGGCGTTGGTCACATGTCACTGGTCATGAGCGCGTATTGCCGCGGTCACTGTTGGCGGTCGCTTGCTCTTATTTTTTTGGCTTTAGTTGTGTTCACACGCAGCGGTTACTTCTTGCGGTATTCCTTGCGATCATGTGATATTCTCTTTTGAGATGGCCGGTTCTTGCGGCAGGCCTTTGGTAGCGAAATTGGAGGCATCCATCAGATTGGAGAAGGAGGAGAAGGAACAAAGAATTGCCCTCAATCTGCGACAGGCAGACTTTGAGTCCTTGGCAGCTAAGATTGAAAGGGACTTCGAAACCTTGGAGGCGCGCAATCCAAAAGAATCCCAACGAGCACAAGAGCACGCTTTGGACATGAAGTACTTGAGAGAGCGACAGCAGCCTCTCGACGAGACATGCTGACTGTTCATTGTTCTTCATGTCAGATTTTGTGCTTTAATTTCATTGTCATTCTCACCTTAATTACGTTTGGGGCACATCCTTCAATGTTTCCCGATGGTTTTGGCCTGTAGCCCGGGTTTTTGCTCTAGTCAGGAAAGGGAAGGACTTTGTCGAGCAGTGGATGAGCGAGCACTGCTGCTTGGTTGATTGCTCCGAAGGGATGACTGCTGCGATCCAGTCCTTCTTGCAATTCAAGGAGCAGTTTCGTTCAGGGAACGAGCAGTGACTTGGTAGTCAAACAACAGTCTTACGGTTTATAGGGCAAGGCATTTTTTTGGAAGTAGTTCGCTAAAGCCACGTTTTGTTGTTCTCTTCATTTCATATATGTATTGAATTTGATCCAATTAGGTACATTGTGTGCACGTTGGATGCCACCGTGTTTCCGGCAAATGGTTCGCATTTGCAAGCGGCGTTGCAGACTTTGACCACCTTGATGAGCATGTCTTCGAACATGATTGGGTTCGTGCTCTACCCCCAGTTCCAGTCGCAGACCAGCCATGCAGCATTGGTCAAGCATCGCCATTTGTTGGACAACGCCTTGCTGAAAGGTGGTGTTTCGTTAGTTCATCACATTCAGTTGCTTTACTCGAAGCCTGATAGCACAGTTCGAGATACTCGGCCATTGTCACAGCCCACTTTGGCTGTCTTCAACACCGGCTTTCAGCAGCATGCCTTCCACCGAAGCCATGCAGTCAGGGAAGGGAAATTGGGTCCCTGCCCTCTACTACGCATTGCTGACTTCATCGGATATGATTCAGAGCTTTCCAAGCCTGGGGCATCAGCTCGTGTGGAGCAGATGCTTGAAGGGGAACTAGTTTATCATGTTTTACTCCCTATATTTTTTGGAGGATGATGAATTCTTTTTTGAGGTGGTCTTTGTTTTTTCCTGGCTTCAGGAAAGGGATCCCTTGTCATGCCAGCATTCTCAACGGGCTGCTCGAGGGCATGGAGATTGGTGACGCCGACAAGATCATTTTCGTGGATCTTCTGCCCAACAGGCCAGCGCACATGAGTCAAATATTGTTCTCTGTTCGCAGTGCCATTGAAACAACGTTGTTTGCACATTAATTTTTATGCCTGCAAATTGTAAGCAAAACATAATCCTGTGACGTCGCATGGTTTTTACGCTTGGTGCCGGTATGAGTATACCATGCAGCCCTGAACCTTTGAGGTTTGCAGAGTTTGGGCGAGCCATTGTTCAGCGGAATTTGACTGAGTCTGGCAAGACGGTGCACTACTGCGCTTTCATTCTGAATGAGTTCCAAGCCAATTCCACGGCTCTGCGAAGCATGGTCTACACCAATTGGGATGGTGATTCTGCGAAGAGTCCTCCGAAAGAGCGCCCTGGAAGGGAAACTGCTGATCGTGCTGCTCCACCTGAACTACAAATCCTGGCATGGTCTCAGAATAGGCCGCTTTTCCCAGCTACTTTGGTCACTCACTTTACTGAAGGCACCCCAGAGTTCAAGAAAATGCAAGAATTCAAGGCCAAGTTTGACAGAATGTTTCCTGCCACCGTCACCACTGTGACTCAAACCAGTACTCCTGGACCTGTGCGTGCTGGAGGGTCTTGTGACTTCACAGTTGATGATGGGAAACTACCGTTGGACATCACGCGCGTCATTGATTTGCCGAGCATTCCAGCCGCCGACTTCCAAACCCCGAGGCTGGATTCATTGTTGGGTTCATGACCATGTGGGTTCCATCGATGCTTTTTGAACGCGTCGTTTGTTCCATGTTTGAATCATGTTCAATGTTGCAGGCTTGCGGAGTGCGCAGCGAGCGGCAAGAAGCCATCACTGGTGGTTGGACAGGACTTCTCCCTCTACATAGGCAATACTACCGATGCGGACATCACAATTGAGGCCATGGAGCTCTTCGGATTTAGACGGGGAAGTTTCGAACAGAAAGAGATTCGTGCAAAGCTGAGTTGTTTGTTTCCATAATATTGTTCTGACACAAACAAGTTACGGTAGCCAACTTCGAGAGTTGACCATTTGGATGAGTTCTGACGATGTTGTGATATGTCCACTGAAGCTTTAATTTGTGTTCATGTCGCGTTCCTGTCTCTTGTATTCAATTGAAGTGTTTTCGGGCCTTTGCCATGGAGATGGCAAGGACTTGCAATTTGAGCTAAGGCGACGTCAGCAATGAAATACATGGAGTTCCATGGCGGTTGTTGGATGACTTCCAGCTTGTGTCCGTGAACAAGCAAATCATGCCACTTTGCCAGTTCCTTCGTGTTTTGGCAACCGATCAGGGCCTCAGCGAAGTGGAACTTTGTGATCATCTTTTGGTTTCGCGAGTGCTCGAGGCTTCTGCTTTGTCATGAATGACATGACACGCTTTCTCCAAGCATGGTTTGCAGGTACGTACAGCTGTAACAGTAGCAGTAGAAGTGTGATTGTGGCTCCCTATGTTGAATGGCAATTTTCCACTTGGATTGGGTCTTTCAAAAGGCCCCCGCAACTCTAGTTTGGCCCCTTCAAAATATGTTTTTTGGGCTATCGGTATAGGACTTGTGGGGGTCTTTTTTCAGGACCCAATCCAAGTTGAAATTTGGCAATTATGTTGAATGTGACTAACTGTAGGCGGTGCTTCGATTGGTGTTAGGTATGATGGTGCTTTCCTCTTGTTTTGGTTGTCGTGTGCTCGTTCTCCAGGATGGTGAGACGCCCGTTTGTTTTCGATACGTGGTGAAGCCGACGGATTCGCATGTGACCAACGTGTTCAAGCCCAGCCTGTCTGGGTCTGGTGGAGAGGAGGAGGCGCAGCCGGACTCATGGCGACATTCCACTCTCGGCGGGGTATTCGTTGGAAGTATGGACAAGCTGATCTCCAACAAAAGGGCATCCGTTGTGTGGGAGGCTCGCGTGCGTTCTTCAATGTTCTTTTGAAGTGTGTCATCAAGTTTTGTGTGTCCAACGAAGTGGTAGTTTACAGGTTCCAACTTTGTAACTTGTTTGCCCGGACTTCTGACCTTAGCTTGTGTCCTGTCACTGGCAGGTGGAGGTGGAGCCTAGCCCTGGCAGGGTCATCGCTGTGAAGCCGAAGGTCATGTTGACTTGTGGAGTTCGTGTGGCAGCAAACACCTGGTGCAATTTGTCAGCCTGAGTGGCCCTAGCCTCGTTAGCTGTAGCTTGCGCTGCGACCCGGAGACTCTGAGTCACCAGCCGAGTTCAATGTGGCAATTTTTGTTCAATCACAACATGACCATTAATCTTTCCAAACTTAGTATACAACGTATACAACCTTTAGATGTCAAACAGTTCAAAACTGTGTCTTCCAGAAGGCTGACTTAAAGAACTTGTCTCCAACTTCTGCGGCAAGTATGGGTTGCACGTTTTGGGTCGACACATGTTGACCGTGACAAGCTGGCAGTTCAACATTAAATCATTTAGACCACAACCCTCAGCCCGGATGCTGAGTTGAGCAAAATCCACGTTACCCCTTCACCGTGTTCAGACTTGTGCCGCGTAGCTATATAACTGAATGCGCCGGCTGTATTTTTTACTTTTGCATGGCCCCCACGTGCTTTCTGGTGGTACCATTTGCATGTCGCGGCATTCAATGTTTGCGTGCAGAGCGGTTCAAGCAACACTGCGCACTGCGAGACTTTGATAGGGTCGTGCGTGCTTTAGAGTGAGTTTGTTGTGTTGTGGTCATGCCGATCTTCCGGCCAGTGTCTGACTTGAGCGATGAATCGAACGAGGCGTGGTAATTTGTTTGATCATTTTCAACTTTACTCAGTCCTTCTGCTTGCATCTACCTTGAAGGGCGATGCCAATCCCAAAGCCAAAGCCGGTCCAAAGCGGAAGGCAGGAGCAGATGCAGAGGTGACAGAGGCGAAAGCGAAGGCCAAGACAAAGGCTCAGACAAAGGGCAAGGCCAAGGCAAAGGGAAAAAACAATGCAAAGGATGAGGCAGAGAAAAAGACAGAGAAGTCAGAGAAAAACGAGAAGGCAGAGAAAGAGAACAAGACTCCGAAGACAGAGAAGGTAGAGAAAAAGAAGACTCCTCAGACAAAGAAGGCAGAGAAAAAGAACAAGACTCCGAAGACAGAGAAGGCAGAGAAGGCAGAGGTAAAAGACTCCGAAGAAGAGGCAGAGGTAAAAGACTCCGAAGAACAGGCAGAGGCAGACCAGGTAGAAACACCCAAGAAGAAACCTGCTGCAAAACCAATGAAGCGCCCGGCATCTGAAGGCTGTGTGGCACAGTGCATGCAGTTTTGTGATGTTGCGTGTTTCTTTTTGTTGTAGTCCACTTCTGGGGACTGGCTTAACCCTAGTGACCTGTAGGCCCGAAGATCAGCAATCCTTACTGGTACAAAGCCACTCACAAGATGCAGTGGGGCATTAAGATTGACGAGAAGGAGAAGTTTCGTGTTTCTTCCCTTTGATTCTGTGCGTTTCTGACCATTTCCACTTTGAACATTTCGATGACAGTTGCGCAATTTTCTATATATAGTTATGTGCCAAACACACTTCAAAACACATCATATTCCTGCACGATCGAAAATTGATCCATGTCACCCATTCACCGTGCCACCTGTTCCTGATTCAAGGTTGGCGGTCCCAAGTATGATCAGACGAAGACCCGTGAGATTGCAGATATTGCTGTGAAAGAGCTGCGTCAAGGTCGAAGTCATGAGAAGGTGAAAGAAATCATCGAAACTCAACTGTCAGTTGTTGTTTTTTGGGAGGTTCACATTCGGTTTGAAAGTAGTAGGCAGTCTTGGTAAATTATCTGCACCCAGCGATGTATCATAGTGTTGATGTTTTCATTGTTTTTCATAGTAGGAACGGCCAGCCATTCCCTTATCAAGGTATATAATTTTCTGGTGTCAATTCAATCTTACCGGCTAAAGCTGTCACGAAGAATACGCTGCAGCGTTGTTCTAACAGTCTCAGTACTCCATAGGTGTTCTAGTACTCCATTCAAGTCATACCCATTCTAATCGAACGTGGGTCGATATATAATATATTATACATATTATACATATATTATAATATATATCTATCACCAAGGACACCTTGGTGGCTGGTTTGGACGGCGATGCTGCTCCCAGTGAGTCTAAGGGTGCTGAGCCGGGAGTGGGAGGTCTTAGTGAGAAGCCAACTGCTCCCCATGAAGGCGAAGAGGAAGAGCCTCTTGCAGAGGATGCCGAAGTCGACGAAACGACAGGTTGAAGTGTTGATGAACGGTGGCCGTAAGGCCGTCCTTTCACTTTGTTGTTTTTCCAAACCTCACTCGGAACCTCAAAGGTTGAGGTTTGCTCGAGATCGATCTTACTCGACGATGGCAGTGAAAAATGATTGCTTAGCTTGACCGGTCCGGTCATCTCACTAGTGATCGAGTGCTGCTTGCCGACACGGTCTCCTCGGGTTTCATGAGCCTATTGTTGAGCAAACTAGCTTCCAGACGACAAACACTGTGATACAAGCGGTCTCATACACGGAAACCGGTGGATTTGTTTCAAAACGGTTTTATCGTTCTGAGTCTGGCTTTTGGAGGAGTTTGCTTGACGCATGTGGATATTATTCACTTGATCAATACTTTTAGTACTCACTTGCTGGTGTCAAATTACCTTGGCCCATGGACCTATTGTGGGTTGTTTTTCGATCATCTTGGCATAATCCCTTCCTTGGATAGTTTTCTAAAGGGTTTATGTCACCATTTACGTCAAAATACATAAATGCTATACATATACCAGTTTCTATAATTTTTTGTTTTGGATTTGAAACATCACGTTGATATAGTTTTCTGGCACATAGCCCTAAAACGCGTCCGTTTTTTCTAAAGGCCCTCACCTGGAGATAGCCTACGCTGCAGCCTGACTGTCATGGTGATGAAAAATCTAGAGACCCTCACTGAGCGGTAGCCTTACACTGCAGCCTGCGGTGGTGCAAAATCTAGAGACCCTCGCCTTGCAACAGCAAACAGTGATGATGACTAAAGAAGATCTAGACACCCTCCTCTGGCAGTTCTTTTGGTGGAACAGGTTATGAGCCCCCTTGAAGATAGCCCTTGCCGCAGCCCGTGGTGATAAACAATGACATGGCCTTGGCCCGGCAAATGTCATGCGTGGCTGCTCCCGGCGAGCTAAGAAGTCTGTGAAAAATAATAATCAGTGGCTGGCACTAAGCCAATCGTTTTTACTTCACAGCTTCAGCCAGGGTGTCAACAGGGAGCACAAATGTCAATCTGAAGTCTGAAACACCCTTCCTTGTCAGACACCCCTTCAAACGAAATCTCCTTAAAAACTTCTACTTCGGTCAGGTGGGTCAGAAAGTTCCAGCTGTTTGGCAGTCCACACTCTGGCGTGGGTGTGCGCAGTCTAAAGTCCTGGTCCTTTGCGCCAGCTTTCGTGGCGCGCTCGGGTGGAGAGGAGAGCGAGGGCAGGTTGTCACGGAAGTTCAAGGCACCCCTGCAACGAAAGGCACAAAAGAAACCGGGGAGCGTCATCGACCTGCTGAAGCAGGTGTCACAACCTCTGCAGGAGGTGGGTGCGAGAAAGGAGAACCTGCTCACGCAAGGACCTGCTACTGGCAAATTGCTCTTCGCCCTCGACATCCCTGCCCTTCGCGAACTGTTTCTTGCAGTGGCGATGGATCTGGTGAGAGCAGGACAATTGCTCTGGACGCCCTGGCAGCCAGGTTTATGGCAGTAGAGAATGCGGTAAGCGAAGGCTGGAGTGTATCAAGACATCTAGAGATCCTGACCCCGGAGGACGAGACCATCACTCCAGCAGAGTTGCAGTTGCAGGCCAGGAGGCATGGAGATCTGCTCGCTCGGGCGCACGGGTCCGAGGGGGAAGGCAGGTGTGTGGAGGAGGCAGAGGTCAGGAAGGAGAAAAGGGCGACAAAGGCAAGGAGGGAGGAAAAGAGAAGAGCGGAAAAGGATGTGGCAAGAAAGGTGGCAAGTACAAAGATCGAGATGCAAAAGGAGGCGAGGACGAGAAGGAGAAGGAGTAGAGTTTCCGCGTGGGAAGCACTGCAAGCAGTGAACTCAGTTCTTTCAAGGAGGCTCGTGACGATGCCTAGTACAATTGGCCTCACTGAACCCCACATGATTTGGAGGAGAGCCGCACTTTCAATAGCAGCTTGGACCTGAATCTAACGAGTGGAGGTGAGGTCGAGATGCATGTTTTTGAGGCCGTAGCCGATGAGCAGAGTTGTTTCACAGATGCATGCTTGCATGAGGAGTGAGGAGCCGTCGGTTGACAGAGCAGTCAAGGTTGAGGGTTGACTTGAGGAGTGAGGCGCCGCTTGTTGAGAGGTGTTGTGATTGTTGACAGAGAGAGAGGAGCGTTGAGCCCCAGAGATATGGAAA